CCAAGACCTTACACTTATGCCTTAGCTTTGCCAAATTATTCTGCCTTTTTCGTAATACAATATTTTATAATATTTGGTATTTTTAAACAGCAATCTGTTGCATTTTTCTAGATCTTGTATTCTGTAAACCCAGAATCTCTCTAACAATATAAAGAAACATCATATAGCAAAACAAATAATAAAAAAAGCATAATATATCAATTATTTATAATTTAATAATAATTTTAAGAAAATTTTTATTTATAATTCAATTTAAGCAGTTTATTGATATTCTTTTTAAAATATTAAAACTTTAATATAGAGAATAAATGTTTTTTTTAATTATTTTTCTAAGATTTATACTTGTATTAAATATAAAAAGCTTTAATTTATAATTTTATTGCAGATGCTAATGTTAAAAACTTTTTAAAAACTTTTTTTGTAAATTATTTTTACAAATTTTTGCTAAAAACATTTAATTTTCTCTTAATAATTCACTAAACAACCCTTGCTTGTACTCTTAAATAAAGTTATTAAGCTTATTCTTTTTATTCTAGCTAGCTAGGTTTTAAGCCTAAATATTTTCTGATTATTAAGAAAAGTTTCAAAAACTAAATTTTTAATTTTTGCTTTTTTTTTTATAAATTTTACTAATTATATATATATTGTTACCTATTAAAAAAATATTTAGCTCAAGAGTGTAGTAATCTAGTAAAGTGGTTAGGTTGTTAATCTTCAAGTGATAAATTAGATATTCAAATCTTATTGATAGTGAAATTTTGAATAATTATCTATATAATATTCATATTATAGCAACTATTATCAATGTTTAAGTTGAAATATTTGTAATAGTAATTACATCAGCATAACTGACAAGTTATAAAACATCTGTGTAAGTAGGGTTTTGCAAAATCAAATCAACTCAAATATTTATCAAATTTGATTTAATCAAATATTATATAAATTTGAATTTAATCAAATCAAATTAAATCAAATCAACATTAATTTAAATTTGATTTGATTTGATTTGAAATTTTATATTTATTACTATATTAAGGTGCATTCTTATACTAAATTTATAATACAACATATAACACATATTAAAATAAATTTTATAATAATAGGAAATGTGTTTTAAGGTAAAAGATGGATTTGATGTGATAACTATATTATTTAGTTTTATTTGAATTGTGATTTATTTTAGTATATGCATCATGTGATTGATATATAATCATTATTAATAATCATATTAAGCAAAAAAAAATTGCATGCATATGAATTTGCACAATACAAAAATATAGCACTATATACAATATTATATAATATTTATTATTTATATATTACACATTTAATATAATACAATTACATTATTATGATATAATTAATATCTATATAGCTATTGCCACTTTGTCAAGACAAGTTGTGTTTAATCCTCATTACATTGTTAATTTGTAATCTCAAAGTTGTATCTAATTTAATTACTAAGTATTATGTTTTGTAAAGCAAATATCTACAAAAACAAAAAGCTAATTTATATTGAAAAAAAACAAAAATATAAAGAAAAAAAAACTGGCACTTATTTTTAAAGCCAGTTCTTGGTCTTATGTTTCATTTAATCTTCACACAAGCCAGTATTTAATCTTGTTTTGATAAAGTTGAACTCTACAAAAAAGAAAAGTTAGTTTACATTAATAAGAAAAAAAATATTAAAAAAACAGTTATCAGTTTAAAGCTCTGTTGATCTCTACATATTTTGATGTTAAGTACATATCATCAAAGTAGTCAAAATCTACAGAAAAAAGAAGAGTTAGTTTAACTATAAAAGAAGCAATGAAATAGAAACTGATAATTATTTTTAAGATTAGTCTTCTGATGCCAATTTATGTTCTGACAAAGCTAAAACCTACAGAAAAAAAGAAATTATTAGTTTATATAAAAAAAGAATACTACAATAAAAAAAGAAGCTAATACTTATCTTTAAGTCAGAAACCCAGTCGAATCTTCACATTACCTAGTGCTGATTTGTGTCTGATGAAGCTGAAACTTACAAAAAAAAAGTAGTTTTTAACAAGAAAAAAATATGACAACAAAAGGAAAACTGGTACTTATCTTTAAGATCAGCCAAAAACTCTGTTGAATTTTTATATTACTCAGAACTAATTTATGTCCTAATGAAGCTGACACTTATAGAAAAAAAAGAATTAGTTTTTGCTAAACAAAAAATATCATGAAAGAAAAACTAGTACTTATCTTTAAAATTAGTAACCAGTCAAAAACTCTATTGAATCTTCACATTACCTAGTGCTGATTCATGTCCTAGCAAAGCTGAACTCTACAAAAACAAAAGAAGTTAGTTTTTGCAAAGAAAAAAAAAAGCATAAAAGAAAAACTGGTACTTATTTTTAAGACCAGTAACTAATCAAAAAACTTCATCAAATCTTTATATTATCTAGCATTAATTTATGTTTTGGTAAAGCTAAACTCTACAGAAAGAAAGTGTGTTAGTTTGCACCAAGAAGAACAAACATGATAACAAAAAGTTACTTATAGAGATGTCACCTAAACTATTTTGGCATTGTTTTGACCTTTATAGCTATTTTTAGTCAGAATTTAGATTTTTGTCAAAACTCAAATGCAACCCCAAATCCAAATACTGTTTCAAATTCCAAATATAATCACAAATTCTAAATACTGTTTCAAATCTCCAAATGCATATGCCCAAATTCCAATGATGAAATTTTTGCTATAATCACTGATTATAATAATGCTTTTAATTAATATAATGATTATTTTAATAAATAATGATGCTTTTAAAAATATAATAATGCTTCTAATTAATATATAACAATATTTTTAATAAATGCAGGAATGCAATGTTGCTATTTAATTAATATAATAATTCTTTTAATAATGTTCTTAAAAAATATAATGATGTATTTTGATTATTTATTAATTATTTTTTAATTACTATTATTATAAATTCATTTTTTGTTAAGCTTAGCAGAAAATGAACTCAGTTTATACTAACATAATAATAAATAAATTGTGTTGTTTTTTTAAAAAAAAGTTTAAAATTTTTGAATTATTAAATGATATTGTAAAAAAAGTTTTAAAAGTTACAAAATAATAATATAATTAGTGTAGTGTATAAAATATTTTGTTAATTTTAATAGTTATTTATTATAAAAAATTAACATTAATTAAACTCCTATTATTACTTTAATGTATTATTGTTATATTATTATAGTTTGGGATTTTATTTTGACAAAGTTCCAAACTAGTTTCGGCTATTTGGGTTTGTCCATATGCTAAAACCATCAGGTTTTGGTAACATCTTTAGTTACTACTAAGTATATTCAAAAAGAACATGTTATTTTACTGCCCTACTCTCTTATAGTCCAGATCTAGCTTCTTGCAAATTTTTTTTAATTTCTAAAATTAAAAAAAAACTTGGTAGAAAAAAATTTTGTTAGATTTAAAAGTTGGCATGAGCTATAAATTCAATAACTAATAATATACAACAAAGTGAATATCATAACACTTTTCAAAGTTGAAATAAAAGGCTAAAACATTGTATAAATGTTAAAAAAGACTATTTTGAAGTAATAAAATAGTAATTTTAAATAATAATAATATGACAAGATGAAACCTGAGTTGCAAAATAGTGAAATCTGCTATAATCATCACATGAGAGTAAAATCTGCTTTTATATAATAAAAAATATAATAAAACATAAATTTTACCCTAAACTGATCTCCAATGTAGATTTTACTATTTTACAACTCAAGTTTCACTCTGTTCTATAATAATAAATAAATTATTTTAGACATCTTGTATCAAAACTTATTGAATAATCTATATATATATATTATAAATAAAAATGTAACAAATAGAAATCTATAATTAATATTTATTGTATAAACTATAATTATAACTAATTTTTAAGATATATAATTGCTTGAATAATACTGCTTTCAAGTCTATTTCTTTCAAAAGTAACTATATTTCCACTTTCACTAAATAATCGCTTTATGGGAGCATTAGTCACAGATATTGACAAGTAATTATAAGCCATTATTGCAAGTATAGAATATTGTTCTTTATATGTTTTTTACCAATCTAATATATCAATTTTACTAAGTTCTGAAGAACTATCTAAATATGCTTTAAGTTCATCATAGCTATTGTGATTACAAAAATGTTTTGAAACAGAAAATAAATCATCATTATTATCTTCATCTTGTATAGCTAAATTATTATTTATAGAAGATGAAATTGAAAAATATAAAGAATGATATTTATCAAATTCTTTAGTAAACCTAAATAAACAAATAATAAATTTAAATAAATAAATAATAAATTTAAATAAATAAATAATAAATAAATTTTAATAATTTACAAATCTTTTGCATACTTATAATAAACTTGATTATCTTTATTAGAAGCCCAAGATTGAAAATATTTAAGCTTCTAATGTAGATTCAGAATTGTTGAAATATAATAATAAGATTTTGAAGTTTTATTATAATATTTTTAAAACTTGTCCTATGCTTCTTTTGCTGCTTTTGATATCTTATCAGAAGCCTTATTATTTATTTTTTTTCACAATGATCTATAAAATAGTTGTACATAAGATATATTATGCTTATTGTTGAATATGAAAAAAACATATTTCAGTAAAAAGTTTAGCAAATCATTTTAAAAATAATGCAATCTTTTTAAGAGATTTCTAATCTGATTGACTTAATTTTAAATCATTTAAGTCAGAAAATTCTTTAATTAATAAAATTTTTTCAAAGACCTATTATAGAAAATAATAAATAAACTTATTTATATAAATAAAATAACAAATAAAAACTAACTACATTTAAACTTAAAGCTTACTGAATCATATTATATATACTGTTTTAACAGGTTGGAACATCAAAAATAGGGGCCAAAATTTTAATACTATTTAAATCTGAAATTTCTAAAAATTTTTGGCATTGTTGTAAAGATGAACAGCTTTTAATAATAAGGTTTTAAACTTTATCAATTTTATTTTTTAGCTGCTTTAAGGCAGCTTGAACAGAAAGATTGATAACATACACAAAACAATGAAAATAATTATTAGTAGAAAAACTAATGTCTTTGCCAATTGCCCATAATTCAAGATAATAAATCAATATATTATTATTGTTAGTATTGTCAATCATAATTTCATTAATCTATAAAATTAAGAAATTTTATTAATTTAAATATAAATTAAAATAGATATAAAAAATAAATCATATAACCTTAGATTCAAAATTATAAAATTTAAAAACTTTAATTGGTTCATTAGCAAGGATTTTATCTGTATAAGAACCTTCTATTTTAACAAATCTAAAGTTTTTTTGTTGAAGCTGCCAATCTTTGTTGATAAAATGAACTATAATTTCTATATAAGCTTTAACTACAGATGAAGTCCAAATATTTAAAGAAAATGCAAATTTTCCTGAAATTTCTTGTAATTCTGTTTGAATATTAGTTTGCATTTCTATATATTTTGTTATTAAATTATGTTTAATTGTATCAGTGAATACAACATAAAACTTTTTGATTTTTTCAATTATTGTTTTAAATTGATCTTTAATTATTGTAAAAGAAAATTCTTAAGTACAATATATTCTAAGATCCACACTTGTAAATCATCTTTGGTAATCTATATTATATAATAAATAATTAATTTAATCCTCTGGTTACAATTAGAAAACTATGTTTTAGTATATATATGAATAATGCTAATGAAAAACCAGACTTCAGCCTTTCAAGCCTGAAGTCAGATTTTTTCTTGACAACACTTATATAATTAAAAATTTTATACTTTTTTAGCAGAAATTTTATTATCAAATTTATAAAAGTCTAAAGTATGTTGAGATGTTGATTGTTCAAAAAGAGAGGAGTATGCTTTTTTAACATGTGTCCAAAGATTTGTTATAGCATTATTAATAAGAGAATATTTAACATTTTTACAATTTCTGCATCTTGCAATAATATCAGCTGTTTTAGTTTTTTTTTTATTAAAAAATTTCCAAATATTAGATCATGAAGAACTAGAAGCATTAGATATTTTATTTATAATTTTAAGAGTATTCAATGTTTTAGATGTATTTGATATTTCAGTAATATTTGATATTTCAGTAACATTTAATATTTCAGATATAGTAGTAGTAAAAGATTTGTTAGGTGTATTAATAGTTTCAATTTTAAGGGTGTGGGTCCCATAGCTTAGCGGTTAAGCTCCCATATCCTCCACAGTCAAGGTCAACAGTTCAAGTCTAGCTGGAGGCAAAATTGAAAGATTTTAGCTTCTGTAACCTAATAAGGAGTCTGTAATTGAATACGAAGCCCTGTGGTT